TACAGCAAACGTTAAGATGGTTAATGAAAGAGCCATTTACTCTGGATTTGTGCAATAGGCTAAACATCTGTGTAAATCAGTTAAAGAGGTTGGTTGATATAATATGCTAAGCCTGGGGTGGGCAATTAATTTTCCTAAGGGGCCATATGAGAAACTGGAACTGTTGTGGGGACCCAAACCAGTATAACCTGATATCCTCAAATTCCATCACCTCAACTCTTTAGGCTATTCCAGATGAGCATTTTGCAGGTGCAGGAAAGTTTTGTCATCTTCTTACCCTCTTATAGCCACCAAAGGAACCAACTTGGCTTCTTCTCCTGTCCCTTATGGTGGACTTATTTACATTTGATTTCTAATTTGCAATTGATCTCACATGATCCAAAGGGCCAGATATGGTGGTGGTGGTTGGGCATAAAATGCCTAGGTCTGTGCTAAGCCACAAGAGGAAACTTAACAAAGTTGTATGTTGCACAGCTGGGCTGCCGAATAAGCCTTTCCCCCCACCCCCATCCCTGGGTATTGGGGAACTTAAAATTTCATGCCATGGGAACTGCAATGGGAATTGAGCTCAGGACTCACAGCAACTAAGACCTTATCACAGTAACCTTCTGGTTAAACTCATTTTGACTTTGTAGCAGTTGCGTTGGGCTCTGGCTCTGGAGAGTAGTATCATTGCCCTTTTGTCATGGTTGGATCATTTCCTAGGCTTGCTATAACTTATTGGCTGCCCATATACAGTAGTATCACAAGATGGGACCCATTGGAATGGTCTGCCTCAAGCACCTTATGAATCCAGCTACTTTCTGGTGGGTGCTTGGAGATGATCCTAACAATCTGTTGGGCAAAATCATTGAGTTCTTGGTTTGCTACTGTTCTGACCCAGGCTTCCTTAGAAAGCAAGAAGCAGAGTCTTGATCCCAGCAAAAAACCCTTTTATTTATATGACTGTGAATTCCTTTCATTCAGTAAGGCTTAGCAAACAGTCTTTCAGAGGAATGTTTATCAACACAAACCTTATCTCGTTTGGAGAACTGCCAAATAACTAGTTTCCAAAGGCAGGGCAAGGCAAAACTTGGCACAGTCTCTCCTATAGTCACAAACAGAACTTTCCACTCTTGAAATGACCGAATGACCGAATTGTTTCCTTCAAAAGCCCACTCCCCATTTGTTCCTCTTTTATTTTCTATAGGAGGGGCCAATCACCTCCAAGGCGTGTCTTTACTCCCACGTCAACCCTGTTTTCTTAGTTCTTGTCTTCTAGCAGCTCTGCGCATGCACACAGCAGGAAGAGGCTCCAGCTGTTCCTCTGCCTCCCTGCTATCTAGCTCCCTCTCTGCCTCCAACGCAGAGCCCCCGTCTGAGCTTTTCTCAGCCCCCAGGACTGGACCCTGTTCCTCCCCAACCTCCTCACTGGCCACTGGCAGGCCACAACAGCTACTGGCAACTGGTGACTTGTCCCTGTGATCATTCCTTGGTGCCCTCTCTTGAATCACTATCCTTGAGGGAGCAGGTCTGTAATTTGGAGGTCCTCCTGAACTTGTAGCCCACAATTAAAAAGTAGGTGGAGACTGTGGTCAGGAGAGCCTCACCTAGCTTTGGCTAGTCTACCTGGAGTGTGAGAAGTTGTTTCAGTAAATCATACCCTTATGAATACTTGGTCAAACTACTGCAACATCCTGTACATAGGTTTGCCTTTAAAGACCATTTCCAAATTTCGTTAGATTGCGTTAATGCAGCAACCTTTATAGTACGTGCTATTCCCTGGTCAGACAGCATTAACTTTGCTAATGTTCTGCATTCCTATAAGCTTCCAGGTGCAATTTTTAAGGTGTTGGTGTTGACCTTTAAAGCTTTTAACCAAGCTACTTTTGGGACTATGTCTCCTTGCATGAGTCAGCCTGACCTATTTATTCTTGTCATCGAGCCCAGCTGGTGGTTGTTCATTTGGAGGTGTTGCTTATCTAGGAATCCTCTCCCATTGGAAGTTAGACTTCATTTGCCACCTGGGAAGGGTGCAGGCAGAGCATGTTCAGAAGGACATTTAGGAGCTAACACTTCTTTTTAGATTTTGCTCTCTGTGTCATTTTTTGACTATTTGCTTTCTATAGTTTATCTCTCTGGATTTTATTGGATTCTGAATATGTGTCTTCTAGTGAAGTTACAGAGAAGCCTCAAGGATGCAGTGGGGGTACAAATGCAATCAATAAATTCACCCTGGGAAATTCTGGGTGGCTAATTAATAACGTTTTAATCACATTTCAAATAGAATATTCATACAGGGTTAAAAGCAGGAGTGAAATCCAGCAGGTTCTGACACAGGTTCTGGAGAACCAGTAGCGGAAATTTTGAGTAGTTCGGAGAACGGGCAAATGATGCTTCTGGCTGGCTCCAGAGTAGAGTGAAAATTGAGATTTTGCAGTATCCTTCTCCTGCCATGCCTACCAAACCCCACCCACCAAGCCACACCATGCCACCAAGTCACCCCCACAGAACCAGTAACAAAAAAAATGACTTTAATCACTGGTTAAAAGCTATATATTGAGGCTTGGAATAAGCCATTTATTTAACTTTCCTTGTTTAGGAAGAGAGACAAATATTACTGACCCTCTTGGGTCATCGTTTCAGAAATAGGTCCTTACCAGAGTCCTCAAGGGCTACAACTGTGACAGAACTTTTAATGTCCTGCCCTCACTGGAAAAATTAGGATACATACATGTCACAGTCAAACATCAGCACACTCCTGAACTTAAAAATAAAGGGGAATCAGAATATTTTGAAGTCTGGAATAGATTTTATGACTGGTATAAGACAAGGTGACAAGATTGGAATGAACTGTATATACTGTGATTGGACAGAAGGATTGATAATGCATTAAGTAGGCTAATTGTCAATAGCTGTGACTAGCTGTATATAATGTGAATATATAGTCACTCCGACTTCGCGGTACTGCAATGTTTTAAATGTAAAAATAATAGAAATATATGGGGGGGAAAAACCATCAGCACAGGAAATGTTGTATGGCATTTTGTATTATATGGTAAACTTTTTATGATTATTTTTGTGTCAGAATATGGTGGCTTGCATGGTTTGGACACTGGGGTGGAGGTTAAAGACCTGAGTGACACCAAGGGTATGTGTGTTGAGGTCCCATTGTTCACTCCCGCTCATGCTGGAGACATGAAAGTCCCCCCCCCCCAAACTGGGAATACCCCAGGCAATGATGATGTCACTGGCTAATCCTTTCAACCCAGAAGAATACCCCAGGCAATGATGATGTCACTGGCTAATCCTTTCAACCCAGAAGAATAC